CGTGACGTCTCCGTTCCCTCCTTCAGGGAACGAGGGTTACCATACGTAACCGAGACGTTCTACTGTCTGGGGTCGAACAGCCATCAGGGGGTTAAAGCTAGTTATTGGACTTTAGGCCTCATCGTCTGTTAATGCAGATGAGCATGTTATGTCTTGCAGCATGCAGTCAAACTTGATATCAAAAACGACTAAATGTGTGAGTAAATTAACTTATCCAGATATAATTGGACAATTACAGAGCTTAGTCATTGACTTGCAGAACATTTTCTGTGAGGGTTAGTGTTAGGGGATAGAATTTACAGGGGCATTATCTTGCATACCCCTCAGCAAACGTGCAGTTGCGCCCCTGATCTGTAACATGAACTATACTTACTCAGGGCATGAAAAATCACATAAAGTGCAGTTATTTAATGTTGAAAAAGATAACAATCAGGAAGACAAAAAGTTTTTTTATTTTTCTTTTTAAATTCAATTTCTGAGAGACCTTGACAGCAGAGGTGTGAGAAAACACAAACAGCGTGGCCTCCCCACCTTTCCTCTCTTCCTACCGGAGTCTTTTCAGTGGCAGAGTCATTAAGGAGATGTATTATCACACAATGCCATTGTGTTGTCCTGCCAAGCTGGCTGTCTTGTTGGGACACTTAACCCCTCATCGCTAAAAGCTTTTGGGGTCAGCTCCGGTTCAGTCTCCACATCGAGTAATGGCGGCTTTTGTCAAAACAAAGGAAATTCAAATGGGGCAAAAGCAGGCCAGGTTTCAGGTGAGAGGAAGGAAGAGCTCATCTAAATGCCCCTACATGAATATGGCACAAGACAGAGAGCGGATGCCTTGTTAGCACAATGTCAATCAGCTTGACAGTGAGACAAGCATGACTGCATTAGTTTGTGACATAATTCACATTAATAAATTATGACATGTCTGAGTGAAAACCTTGGGGGATATATATTAAAAATAATATTTCATCAAAGAATCTTCAACAAAAAGAAATTTGTTATTAATTTGAATATATATTTTAATTTGATAATTTGTCATACAAAATTAATAAATCAGAAAGAGCAAAGACTACATATAAATATAAAGACTGGTAATTGCAGCTATTGTTATCATTTAATGTGTAACAGTTTATGAATCTTTCAATGATGATTATTTGCTTGTTCATTTACAGGCCATCCGCTGTACTCTGGTAAACTGCACATGTGAGTGTTTCCAGCCTGGAAAAATCCACCTCCGGACATGTGACCAGTGCAAGCATGGATGGGTCGCGCATGGTGAGTGTCTTTCGGTGTATGTGTGTAAAACCAGCCTGGTCTCATTGCTCTGTTGCTCAGTACATAGGTACTTGTATGCAACATTTACAGGTGTGAAAACAGTCTTTGTACGTTTGAATAGAAGCACTACAATATGGATGTACAGCATTTAAAACATCAACATTATTACATTATATTGTAAATGTATTTATATAGTTACTTTTGTACCATTTTATATATATATTTTTTATTATATATTTTATTAAAAGATTTCTAAACTCTATCCTCAAACCTGAATATTTTCAACAATAAAAAACATAACAGGCAAAACTAAAATGTACAGTGACTTTTATGACCATTTTATGGTGCGTTTGTGGTGTATTTGATGGTCATGTTTGAAATGGAAATGAGTCAACTGTATTGAAAGTGATCACAAATACAATAGAATCGAAGGAACTTAAAAGAAACTAAAATAACTTAAAATAACTATATAAAATATAAGAAAATTTTCATGACACTGTAGTGTCTATATAGGTTTTCATTAGGTGAAAAAAGTGAGGAACAGCTGTGATTTTAATTTAATATTAATTGTAATTTTTTTTTTAATACAGTGAATTAGATACATTTCAGACATCTTTGCTATTCATTTGCTATTATGTTTTTGTGTGTGTGCAGGGGGGGGTGTTATGGGTTTAACCTGATCTGTCTTTATCTGTCCTTTTATCTGGTCCCCTTCTTTCTCCTGAGCCCAGTGAAGTTATTGCTTCTCATAAAACCGCCTCTTTAGCCAGTCGATATTCTGTGACTCGCATATCCATCTTTATTCCCTCACTTTTCTCTGCATGCTTCTGTGTCTTCATTCGTGTAGCTTTTAATTCACTAATAACTGTCCTTTCACTTATTTCATTATACTGAAAATAAAAAGCATAAAAAGGTCAAAAATTTGCTTAAGTGCAAGTGAAAACATCAAATGAAAGGAGATGACAGTCAAAAAGCAGAGAGTTAAGTAAGAAAAGAGAGGGAGAAACAGACAGTTGGTTTCATAGAGAGACAAAAGAAAACACCTGTTGGGTTGGGATGAAAGGAAAAGAGACAGGCCTAAAGGGACCATCACAGGGGCCCTTCGCCTAGTTTTAATTTCACTGTGAACTGTCAGCTGCTATCCTTCCTCCCTTCCTCGTCTTCTAACTCTTCTCTGCCATAGAGTTCTCATTTTGTCTGTAGTGTTGGCAGCTATTCCGACAAGTAGTTTTTTCTTTTTTTTTTCTTTTTTTTTTCGTGTCTAGCAGAGTCTGTTGTCAGGCAAAGACCTAGTCAGCACAAAAATCAGTCTTGGACTGAGGGGAAAAAACAGGTGTCGTACAGAGTCAGAGAGAGAGTTCAGAGAAGAAAGAGAAACAGATAATGTTGATGCCACTCTCATTTCTTCATAGAATTGTCATTATCTAAGTGTGCATTTCGTTCACACAGAAAATCAGTAAAATGAAGAATGTCTGTCGACACAGTTCATAGTTCAATAATATGCTTCAAATAAAAAACAATACACCACATTTATCTTATATATTTATTTTTAAACTGCAATGTGCATGGGTGTCTTGTTACAACCAGCTTTGTGTTACAAACTAATAATTTAAAAGGAGTGATGTTAAAGTACACATTATGTAAGTAGAAGTGATGCAGTGTAATGCAAAGTGTGACCACATATTTAAATATAAGCCTTCTGGTGAAAGGATACTAAGTTAGAAAATCTTATATAGTATGTGTTTATCATTTAAGCAATAATACTAATTGTGTGTTGCTCTTTTTGTGATTATAGCTCTAGACAAGCTGAGCACACAGCATCTCTACCACCCGACGCAGGTGGAGATTGTACAGTCCAATGTGGTGTTTGACATTAGCAGTCTGATGCTGTATGGGACTCAGGCAGTACCTGTGAGGTTGAAGATCCTGCTGGACCGTCTGTTCAGCGTTCTCAAACAGGAAGAGGTTCTGCACATCCTCCATGGCCTGGGCTGGACCCTGAGAGACTATGTTAGAGGCTACATACTACAGGTAAATTAAAAACTAAAAGCAAAAAAAAAAAAAAAACAAGTATTAGGTAGATAACATATCTGACATAATAATAAAAAAAAATTTAACATATTACTATAATCTTTAATTTTTAATATATGATATATAATAAGGTAAGCATTTTGCATATCTAAACATGAATATTAAAAGCTATGTATAAAATAATCCCTGAACAATGGATATTTAGCTCTATGAATTTAAGAAAATATATAATAAAAAATAAAAAAATGCAGAGAAGAAAATGATAGAGATAAGAAAACTGTCATGAAAAAACAAAAAAAAAAAAAAAAAAAAAAAAAACAAGTATTAGGTAGATAACATATCTGACATAATAATAAAAAAAAATTTAACATATTACTATAATCTTTAATTTTTAATATATGATATATAATAAGGTAAGCATTTTGCATATCTAAACATGAATATTAAAAGCTATGTATAAAATAATCCCTGAACAATGGATATTTAGCTCTATGAATTTAAGAAAATATATAATAAAAAATAAAAAAATGCAGAGAAGAAAATGATAGAGATAAGAAAACTGTCATGACTGCAGCCAATAGCAGACTATAGAACCACCATGATGCTTTCCCTCCCTCTCACTCCTTTAATTGGAATCAGACACATTTCTTAATCAAAGGTACAGGGCTTTTGGGTTCGCAACAAAACCAAAGTGTTCCTGTATGAATTAGTTAAGAGCAACTGAACATGTGCTTGTGGTTAGCCTTGTGTGTCCAACGCCAATAGCAGAGCGAGGCTTTGGTTTGGCAACCATGCCTAAGTGGAACAGCATGCTGAGCTCGAAGGCGGTTTTGAGGCCTTGTACGAGGAAATGGCTTCTGTGAGTAAATCTCTCCCTCTCCCACACTTTTTCTCTCATCATTTGACTGGAAGGAATTGTGGAAGGCTGCAGTTTTTTACAGTTCTACAATCATTTGTTGTGTGCGCAATGTCTGTTTGTGTTTCTCATTGCTCTCCCCCTGATGGCTTATCGGAAAATTCCCCAGACATTAAATATGACATGGCAAAATACTGACCACTGTATCTGATGTAGTCTGAAATCTGAGAATTAAATAATGTCTCTCTGCACAGTCCAGAATTTTTGTGGGTTTACAGTCAAGTAAGGACACTCGGTTGTCGTGTATAGTTCATAATATTGTTCCAGATGTTAGGTAGTAGTTGTAAAACTTTAGGCATTCTTGGCTCTTAGCATTGATATTAGTATCACTTTTGAAAATAATTCAGTTTGTATGTGATACTACTCTAATATAATTATAGTTCATTAAGTACTGCCCTTAGTCTATAAAAGACTGCTGAAATGATAGCTTTTGAATCTTGGCATCCACCCAATCTACCTTAATTACTAAAAAAAAAATGCATACTCAAGTAAATAGCGCAAAATATTCAGCTTTTTAAAAACAAAATTTCTGCCATTGGCCAGACAAAATTTGCATTTATTCTTGTTTGTACCTTTCAAACCTGTTCGTTACAAAATGCAGGTAAGAGGT